TTTACAATATGAAATTCAGATTGTTTATAATTTTTTGATAGAGATAATAATATTATTAAATATTAATAACAATTATACATAAACAATATTATACATAATATATATACAATATATACAAAATATATACAATATATACAATATATGCAATATATACAAAGTACACAAATTATGCAATAATACACAATAATTATGCAAATTATGGATGTAACAAAGAAATTAAAAATTATTGTAATTATTTGTATATTGCAATTATATCGTAATTATATTATATATTACTTGATATAATAATGAATGTATTGTCATATCCTATTTTCGAAACAATAAACTTTTAAATTTAAAATTAATAAAATCGAAAAGTAACTGTTCGAAGGAATTTCTCAAAAATCGAAAATTTAATATTCGTGGCAGTAACTATGATGATAAAAATTGAAAACAATACAGTAAATAAATAATAAAGTAGACAAAAATAAAAAATAATATTTATGACAATAAATATCCATGACAATAAAGGTAAAAATACAAAATATGAAATGTAAAAAATAAAATTGCGAATTCTTCTGACTCTGTACTGTCGATTATTGCTTGGCCAAAGCAATGACAATGATATTTTTAAATATATAATTATTTACAAATAATTTTTAATTATTATTTTTAAATATTATAATGATATTTTCAATATTATTTTCTGTGATAGCTGGAGATCTACTCTTGTTATTTAATAAAGTATACATGTAATTAATAAAGTATGTACGTAATTTATAGATCACGAAATAAAATATTTAATAACATACAAACGATGAGCCTTTAATTGCAGATTTCTAAATGCACACAAAATGTTTGTTGCTCGTCTGACTAATAAAAAATCAATAGCTAATACATTTGTAAGGACATATCTGAGGATTTCATTTATTTTAGAATGGACACAAAATAGAAAATTTATAAAACTCAAGAAAGAGCTGTTGACAATCAAGATATTCTTCTACTCGCCGCCTTTTGTATTCAAAGATATCAATTTGAGTTTTGATCAAACACTCACTGATTCAAACACTCTTTTTCTATCAGGAACACCTTGTACATATGTCATCTTTTTACAACGTAGAATAAATTCTCGTAGAATGAAGTATAAGTATCGTTCCTTTACGCGGAATCCAACAATATTTACGAGATATTTAAAGATATTTAAGGACTATTGTAATGTAAAATATAATTCAAATGAATCTCTTTAATCTGACATTGATAAAAAAGTATATAAAAGTTAATAATTCGGTAGTTGCTTGTTCACTGTTAGAATTTTGGAATGATTCAAATGTACGTTTCTAATAATCGCATTGAAAGAGTTTATAGCGATTTTATGAAGCATTTCTTTGATTTTTATTAGAAAAAAATATGAAATTTGAAGATGTTAATAATAGAAAATTAATAGTATCTATAGGAACGTAACAAAACTATTAACCTTTCAATAGAATTGCACTAAGTGTCCAATAATTTATGTATGGAAGTGTAAATATACCTACATGTTCCATAGTTGCCAACAACCTGGTTTGAGATCAATATCTATATCAATATTGTTATTTTTTAAATTATCTTTATTTTTTAAAAATTTATATGTTATTTAAAAAATATATTATATATTTTTTAAATTATAATTATATGAATTAATAATTTCAACATTAAGTAATGATTATTAAGTATTATTCAATACCTCAATATCTCATACTTAAGTATCATTAAATATCAACCAATTAAATAATTGGATCATTTAAAAGTACAATTAAAGAAAGAATTTAAAAAAATTGGTCGTTATTGGAAATGGAATTGCAATCCAAAAAATTGAATCCAAAAATGAAAGTAGAAAATAAATC